CCAGCAATACATTTTGGGGAAAAAGGAAAAAGATATTACCAGCAATACATTTTGGGGAAAAAGGAAAAAGATATTACCAGCAATACATTTTGGGGAAAAAAGGAAAAAGTTTTTACCAGCAATACATTTTGGGGAAAAAGGAAAAAGATATTACCAGCCATATATTTTGGGGAAAAAGGAAAAAGATATTACCAGCAATACATTTGGAGGAAAAAGGAAAAGATATTACCAGCAATACATTTTGGGGAAAAAGGAAAAAGATATTACCAGCAATATATTTTGGGGAAAAAAAGGAAAAGATATTACCAGCTATACATTTTGGGGGGAAAAAGGGAAAAGATATTACCAGCAATACATTTTGGGGAAAAAGGATAAAAGTTTTACCAGAAATACATTTTGGGGAAAAGGAAAAGATATTACCAGCCATATATTTTGGGGAAAAAGGAAAAAGATATTACCAGCAATACATTTGGAGGAAAAAGGAAAAAGATATTACCAGCAATACATTTTGGGGGAAAAAGGAAAAAGATATTACCAGTCATATATTTTGGGGAAAAAGGAAAAAGATATTACCAGCAATTTATTTTGGGGAAAAAAGGAAATGTTATTACCAGCAATACATTTGGGGAAAAAAAAAAAAAGATATTACCCAATACAATACATTTTTGGGAAAAAGGAAAAGATATTACCAACAATACATTTGGGGAAAAAGGGGAAAAATTTTGGGGGGAAAAAGATATTACATTTTGGGGAAAAAGGATAAAAATATTACCAACAATACATTTTGGGGGAAAAAGGCAAAAAGATATTACCAGCAATACATTTTGGGGGAAAAGGAAAAAAGATATTACCAACAATACATTTTTGGGGAAAAAAGGAAAAAGATATTACCAGCAATACATTTTGGGGGAAAAACATTTTGGGGAAAAAGGAAATTACCAGCAATACATTTTGGGGAAAAAGGAAAAGATATTACCAGCAATACATTTTTGGGGAAAAAGGGAAAAGATATTACCAGCAATACATTTTGGGGAAAAAGGAAAAAGATATTACCAGTCATACATTTTTGGGGGATATTACCAAAAAAAGGAAAAAATATATTACCAGCAATACATTTTGGGGAAAAAGGAAAAAGATATTACCAGCAATACATTTTGGGGGAAAAAGGAAAAAGATATTATATTTTTGGGAAGAAAAAGAAAATTACCAATACATTTTGGAAAAAAAAGGAAAAGATATTACCAGCAATACATTTTGGGAAAAAAAAAAGGAAAAAATATTTACCAGCAATACATTTTGGGGAAAAAAAAAAAAAGCAATATTTTTACCAAAAAGATATTACCACATTTTGGGGAAAAAAAAAAAGATATTCCAGCAATACATTTTGGGGAAAAAGGAAAATATATTACCATCAATACATTTTCGGGAAAAAGGAAAAAAGATATTACGAGCAATACATTTTGGGGGAAAAAGGAAAAAGATATTACCAGCCATATATTTTGGGGAAAAAGGAAAAAGATATTACCAGCTATACATTTTGGGGAAAAAGGATAAAGATATTACCAGCAATACATTTTGGGGGAAAAAGGAAAAAGATATTACCAGCCATATATTTTGGGGAAAAAGGAAAAAGATATTACCAGCTATACATTTTGGGGAAAAAGGATAAAGATATTACCAGCAATACATTTTGGGGAAAAAGGAAAAAGATATTACCAGCAATACATTTTGGGGGAAAAAGGAAAAAGATATTACCAGCAATACATTTTGGGGAAAAAGGAAAAAGTTATTACCAGCAATACATTTTGGGGAAAAAGGAAAAAGATATTACCAGCAATACATTTTGGGGAAAAAGGAAAAAGTTATTACCAGCAATACATTTTGGGGAAAAAGGAAAAAGATATTACCAGCTATACATTTTGGGGAAAAAGGAAAAAGATATTACCAGCTATACATTTTGGGGAAAAAGGAAAAAGATATTACCAGCAATACATTTTGGGGAAAAAGGAAAAAGATATTACCAGCAATACATTTTGGGGAAAAAGGAAAAAGTTTTTACCAGCAATACATTTTGGGGAAAATGGAAAAAGATATTACCAGCAATACATTTTGGGGAAAAAGGAAAATATGTATATTACCAGAAATAAATTTTTGGAAAAAAAAAATACCAGCAATAAAAATTTTGTCGGCATTAGATGTTGATATGGCTTTAAAAAAGCAAAACAAACGAGCGAAAGTTCAAGTTCTGTAGAGACACTTAATTAGTTACCTGAAAAAAAAGCGATACCTAAGGTTTAAAATGCATTTTAAAAATGAAAGCACTGTGTTGAAGCTTTTATTTTAGTTTTAATTCAAAAGGTAATAGATTAAGTTTAATATTTTCAATAAACCAAAATAGTTTGCTGGGTTTCAAATCGAAAATAAATTGATTGGAATGATTAATTTTATTATGAGTAAAATCGTTAAAAATCCTTTATTAAAGTTTCAGCACAACATAATTCTCTTGACTAAGATATCTTTCAAAAATAAAATATATTTTTTCGGAAAGTTTATGTGTGGAAGATTAACTGATTTAAGTTTAATTTTAATGAAAAAAATATATTACAAACTTTTAGTTTAAACTATCGCTGAAAATAAGACAGAGGTGTGTGCTTTTATGAGGTGTTGTATCATCTTTCAATAACTGAATTTCTGTTATCGTTTCACCCCAGGTATGGTAATATAACGACGAAGGCGCAAGAGGTAACCAAGTGTGGAAAAATATGACAAAAAGAAAACATTATTAAGGAAAACGGGCAACAAAAGAACACGATTAAGACGACAGAAGATAACGATTGACATTGCATTTAAATTTTTGGACATCAAAGTTGACTGGGAAGCAAGAAGCCGGAAGAGAGTTCCACAAGCGAGAAGTGCGATAGAAGAAACTTTCAGCATAGAACTTACGGTTATACTTAGCTATTTCAACTGTATCATGATGAGACCTTACCGCCAATCCAGTACTGCGTTTAAATGCATCAGGTATAGGCACCATAGCAGAAGGTTCATCAGAACAATTGCCATGAAAATAATCATAGAAAAGACACAGGGAAACTACGTTACAATGGTGAGAAGGAACTGAAGCCGATATGCCAAGAAACATTGCAGATTCTTCTTTGGATTTTATCAATAATATTTAAATATATAGCAGTAGTACTAGACCAGATGTGACAGAAATATTCTAAACAAGGATGAATGGTAGACTTATAAATATGTAAGATAGATTCTTCTTTGGATTTTATCAAGAATTTCAAAATATATAGCAGAAGTACCAGACCAAAATGTGACAGAATATTCAAAGTAAGGATAAATGGTATACGTAAGATAGATTTTAGCGAGAAAAATTGTCTAACACGACATAGTGAACCAGTTTTCTTACTTGCACACTTTTCGAGGTTTTTTAAAAGTGGAACATAATTCTAGTAAAATTATATGACGAATACAATGTAAGAGACATGTGAGATATTTTTTTCTTCTCAGTAATAAAATATCATTAAAAAAAAATTAAGAATTTCAAAAATCAATGTCTTTTATACCACAAAATGACGCTAAAGCTTCTCATACAAATAAATTTTGATTATCTGTCTATATTTCTGAGATGAGGTATTATGTACACTATTTACATTATTCGGACTATTGTCCTCATCTTTGTCGCCATATTTATCACAACGTTTCGGCCTTTCAGTATCTGATTATATTTCTGAGATCAGGTATTATGTACACTATTTACATTATTCGTACTGTTGTCCTCATCTTTGTCGCCATATTTATCACAACGTTTCGGGCTTTCAGTCCTGATTATATTTGAGATCAGGTATGTACACCATTTACATTATTCTACTGTTGTCCTCATCTTTGTATTTATTACAACGATCGGTCCTTCTGTATCTGTCTCATATTTTGAGATGGTATTATGTACACTATTTACATTATTCAGACTATTGTTCTTTCATCTATGTCATATTTATTACAACGTTTCGGCCTTTCAGTATCGCATATTTCTGAGATATTTATTTACATTACGACTATTGTTCATCTTTGTCGCCATATTTATTCAAGTATCAGTCTATATTTCTGAGATGCGGTATTATGTACACTATTTACATTATTCGGACTATTGTCCTCATCTTTGTCGCCATATTTATTACAACGTTTCGGCCTTTCAGTATCTGTCTCATATTTCCGTTATTCAGACTATTGTCCTCATATTTGTCGCCATATTTATCACAACGTTTCGGCCGTTGCACGTCCGGCCTTCAGGTGGTTGGAATGTCGAACCGAACCCTTTATTTCGCTCACTGGGGTAGATTGTTCTGAATTATCGATACGGACCCGATACACCGAAAATATGGAGACAAATTGAAAAATCCGACCAGAAACTGGCACGAATATCGAACCACGTGGAACTAGAACAGTCTATCCCAGTGAGCGAAATAATGACTTCCAGCCATCTGAAGAAGGCCGGAGCGTACAACGGCCGAAACGTTGTAATAAATATGGCGACAAAGATGAGGACAATAGTCCGAATAATGTAAAAAGTGTAATTTTAATTAATTTCTTTTTCTGGCGCCAATCATTGACGTCAGAAAAGTATGTTTTTAATGAACATTTCAAAAGTTCTAGAAAGAATTAAAAAAAAATAAAATTATATTAAAAAGATCCTTTGGTCTTACCTCAATAATAATAATAATAATAATAATAATAGAATAATTTGACGATAAAACTTTGTTTTATTAAGTTTGAAGCATTTTGCCGTCATGTATGATCATTTTTTAGTGAATCTTTGGAGGTACCTACAGTTAATCATTTTCTTTTCTTATGCGTACCCCACCTCCCTGAAGATGACTTATGTGAGTCGAAAGCCTGAAATACACGACATGAATCTTGTCCAAGTTATCCATTCACAATGACAATCGTACATTAGAAAAAAAGGATTAAATTTAATTAATATAAATGGTCTAATGTTTGTAACAATACATGTTAAAAAGAAAAATTTCTACCCAAATACACCGAAAATATCTATCTATCTATCTATCTATCTATCTATGTCACTCTGTTCATATCTATTTCAGACTGTTCATCTCTGTTCTATCTATCTATCTATCTATCTATCTATCTCACTCTGTTCATATCTATTTCTATCTATCTATCTATCTATCTATCTATCTATCTCACTCTGTTCATATCTATTTAAGACTGTTGGCTATCTATCTATCTATCTATCTATCTATCTATCTATCTATCTGTGTCACTTAATTATCTATCTATCTATCTATCTATCTGAGGCACTTATCTATCTATCTATCTATCTATCTATCTATCTATCTATCTATCTATGTTCATATCTATTCAAGACTGTTGGTTATCTATCTATCTATCTATCTATCTATCTATCTATCTATCTATCTATATGCGCGCGCGCGCGCGTGTGTGTGTGTGTAAAGGGTGAGGGTGTGAATGCCCGTGTTTTTATACAACAAAGAAAGGATTAACATTTGGAAACAAGTGATTAAATCTTTTTCCGACGATACAATCAACTTTTAAGAAGAAAAAAAAACTATTGTTTGAATTACACAATCAGAAACATGTTGGTAACCCTCCCACCCCAGAAATAATTGCCCCGTCTTGGGATACGGGTGGCGGGTATAGCTTGGAAAGGACTTCAAGCAGTTGGAGACAATTCGGCTCCGTTTAGCTCACCGTCGGGTCAGACTGTCGCGTATCACGTCGGGGACAGGATCTTTTGTCAACCGCTGCAGGAACACCCACATTGCGCAACTCAGTGTCAATCCACCATCCCTGAACCTGGACACCCACGCTCGTACCCAGGCCCACCCGTTTATGTACCCTGGCGCCAAGACTATGACTGAAGCTGTCTGTACACATTTTGGTTGTACGAATCGACGCACGGTCTTATTTTCTTCGAATTTAGAAGGTTCGTTGGCGGCCATGTTTCTTTGTGGATTATTTCTCTTTTCCCTTTCTTTCCCCTTATGTCTTTTTCTTTATCACTGCTATTCCTAACCTTATTACATCGAGTTCTCTTCGGTGTCATCAATTCCATCTTCGATTTACGTCATATTCCCCTGTATACTTTTTGGATTTCCCGTTTCTTATGTGATCGTCTTTATTCTGGTAATGTCAACGAATACTCGTTGTCACTTTCTTAAATGCTCGTGGTAGTAGAGACTTTGTAATCGCAGATATAACTATAGTAACGCCGTTGAACAATACTGATGTCAGACGCCTTCGAATAGCACTCGCACTAATAGTACTTGCTCAATAATACTCGCTCGAATAGTAAGCACCGAATAGTGATCAGTATAGAGAAATAGTATAGGGCTGGTTGATTTTTAACTATTTTTAGGGAATAAATATTCTATTCGCTATGTAAGTTGAGGATTGATACAATAAATGTTTTGTGATGTCAACGAACACTCGTTGACACTTTTGTAATGTCAACGAATAGTCGTTGTCACTTTTGTAATACTTGTTGTAGTAGAGACTTTGTAATTGCAGATACAACTATAGTAACGCTGTTGAACAATACTGATGTCAAACGCCTTCGAATAACATTCGCACTAAGAGTACTTGCTCGATAATACTCGCTCGATTAGTAAGCACCGAATAGTGATCTGAATAGCAATTTGTATAGTGGGATATTGACTAAATGTTATGGTCCAAGTTCCTTGTACCACGGTGATGGTCCAAGGTTAGAACCAATGAAAGAATAACACGAACACAGGTATGGAATACAAAGATATATTACAACAGAAATATAATACAAAGAAGTAGAAGTATTAGTAATGACTATCAGATTTGGTTAGAGTGAACTATGTTGTCTCGACAAGTATCACTATTCCAATGTCCTTACAATGTGCTCTCAATTATCTCTCCTCGTCTTACAATCTTCCTCATACCTCTTGAGAGGAGCAGTATTTATAATGTCAGGAATAGTCCATTATTATTATGGGTAAGTTCCGATAACACTAACCACCCCACATCTCGATTGCTACCACTGTATATAAAGACGCCCCCCCCTCACCTGATGTCGCTGTGTGGCTTCTTTCCTTCGTGCGTGCTTCAGCCCGGCGGCAAGCCTCAGTTTCTTCTCTCATCCTTCGCTGTTTTTGTGATGTCGACGAACATTCGTTACACTTTTTTAATGTCAACGAATACTCGTTGCCACTTTCGTAATGCTCGTTGTAGTAGAGACTTTGTAATCGCAGTTACAACTATAGTAACGCCGTTGAACAATACTGATGTCAGACGCCTTCGAATAACACTCGCACTTATAGTACATGTTCGATAATATTCGCTCGGAAAATAACCACTGAATTGTTATCCGAATAGAGAAATACTATAGTGAATATTATAGAGAATGGCGTTCCGTAAAGTAATGGATAGCGGCTCGGATTGAGGAATCAGAGATCCGAGTTCGAATTCCAGTCGAAACCATTA